TTTTCCTAAGAAATAACTGAAAACACAGCTGACCTTCAAAACTTCATAACTGTATACTTTCTCATAAGTTATTTTCCACTGAAGCTTTAAGTAACGGAAATATCTTGTTAGGAAATGATGACAGACATAATCAAAAGCATGCATGTTCCCACTGTACAAAAGGAGTTCTTATCCTAGTCAAGCTTTTGGTGTTTTTTATCCTTGAAATATGTTAAAGTAGACACTATCTGGAATCTGAGTAGCAATCACAAACAAGAACATACTGTCCAATCTGAAGGCCTTTATCCTAAGAAAATATTAAACAAGACTCAGGCGATGATGAATTGCATAACTTGTATGTTCCTGTGGAAGTGAATAATACTGAAAAGTTAAATCTTTCAAATTTAGTGACATTTTCTCTTGCTAGTAACATTTTCTAAAATCCTGTGTTCTTCAAAGCATTCATGTTCAAAGCTGAAAATGTCTTTATTGAAGAAGTAGCTTCTAGTGGTTCTGAGAGCAAAATGAAACAAAAAACTTGAGCCAATTATTCATACTACCCAGGTCCCTTATCTCTTTATTAAAGCTTTTTCCAACAGTGTATGTAAATAACCCTCCATGAAAATTTCCAGTGAAGGTAACGAATTGGAAAGCGCCATGGGCGCTCAGATTACTTACATATGAATTCCATCATTCATTACCGCTTGAAGGAACACTTGTTCATCCTGTACCCACCAAAAGTGCTGTTGAAAAAAATAATGCTAGTGATCTGTTGCCCATTATTTTCTTACTGGTGCAAGATCGGGCCCTGGCAGCTTCTTCTAATACAGACCAAGTCTTTAGATTCCAGTCTGACACCAAAGTCTGTTCTCACCCTTGCCAGACAATTCCCACATCTCCCTGGGACCAGCTAATGCATTCAGGGAAGGCTGCAGGAGCATGACAGAGACGCTAAGACAAGTAGTTTTGAATCATGCTATAACTACACATTTTAAAAGTACAAAGAATTGAAAGCTTGTTTAGTGACACTATTAGTAATACTGAAGTGGGTTCATTTTCCCAGTCCATGTACTTTACGGTATTAAATTTTATCAAGCAAGAATATCCTTGAAACAGAACTAAAAACTGTGCTAATGACTAAATCTGATAGACACCAAAACTTTCATTCTTTCATGTCTTTAATATTCTAAATCAGTTTAAAAGTCTGCAAGATGCCACCCAGAGCAGAAATATGACCTTTCTGAAGTCACAGAACACATTATTAAAAATATGCAGAATCTTGGCCAGGCGCGGTGGCTCATGCCTACAATCCCAGCAATTTGTGAGGCCGAGGCAGGTGGATCACCTGAGGTCAGGAGTTCAAGACGACCCTGGACAACATGGTGAAACCCCATCTCTACTAATAATACAAAAATTAGCTGGATGTGGTGGTTGGCGCCTGAAATCCCAGCTACTTGGGAGGCCGAGCCAGGAGAATTGCTTGAACCTGGGAGGCATAGGTTGCAGGAGCTGAGATGGTGCCACTGCACTCTAGTCTGGGTGACAGAGTAAGACTCTGTCTGTCTCTCTCTCTATATATATATATGTACAGAATTTCAATCAAGCACTAATCAAGGCAAATGGTATCAGAGCAAGACCAATTTATGGTTAATAATCCATGTTAAAGGATGGGTTACTAGCAACTAACTGTAACTAACATTTATTGGGCACCGACTTGGTACCAAGCACCATTCTATAACTTTTCTCGTATTATCTCATGGATTCTTCATAATTACTACCCATTAATTAGGATCCTATTTCACAGGTGAGGCAACTGAGGCACAGAATGGTGAAGGCAGGGGGCTTACAGGAGGATGAGAACCTCTAATCAGCGAGTGGTAGAGTGAGGCTGGACCCCTGTGATTCAAGCAGTTCCGCCACAGATGCCTCCGCACGCTGTTGCCAGCAATAATATGAATACTGGAAAATGAGGCTCAAGACGGAGGTTGTAAGAGTTTTCATAAAATTCCCTTTTATGATGGTTTGCTATCTAGATCACGGTAAAACAAACAATAGTTTTTTCAGACGGATGACAAGAACTGTGGGTTTACTTTATGTCCCAGTCACAGATTGCATTTAGGGACAAAGAAAATTCTCCCAGGGTGATTGTACTCCTTTCCTAGGGCTGCCATAACAAAGTACCATACACTGGGTGGTTTAAAACAACAGAAATGTATTGTCTCGTGGACCTGGAGGTCAGAAGTCTGCAATTGAGGTGTTGGCAGGGCCATAAACCCTCTAAAGGTGCTAGGGAAGGATCTGTTCCAGGCCTCTCCCAGCTTCTGGATGTTCCTTGGCTTGTGGCGACATAATGTCAATCTTCACATGGTGTTTTCACTGCATGTGTGTCTGTCTCTGTGTCCTTTTTTTTTTGCCCTTTTTTTTTTTTTTTTTTTGAGATGGAGTCTTGCTCTGTCGCCCAGGCTGGAGTGCAGTGGTGTGATCTCGGCTCACTGCAAGCTCCAACCCCTGGGTTCACACCATTCTCCTGCCTCAGCCTCCCGAGTAGCTGAGACTATAGGTGCTTGCCACCACGCCCGGCTAATTTTTTGTATTTTTAGTAGAGATGGGGTTTCACCGCGTTAGCCAGGACGGTCTCGATTTCCTGACCTTGTGATCTGCCTGCCTCGGCCTCCCAAAGTGCTGGGTTACAGGCGTGATCCACAGTACCTGGCCCAGATTTTGCCCTTTTTATAAAGACCTGAGTCATATAGGATTAGGACCCCTGTAATGACCTCACTTAACCTCAATTACCTCTGGAAAGACCCTGTCTTCAAATAAGGTCACATTCTGAGGAACTGGGGGTTAGGACTCCACTGTATCTTTCTTGGGGAGATACAATTCAACCCAGATGATGAAAGTGCAGTTTGAAGCCGTAAAGTTACCTAGACAGATCTGGAAATAATATGAAACATAGAGATGAAGCTTATCAGGTTTATAATGCACACAAGGCCCAGCTCATTCTGGAAAATGTCCCACAGAATCACTGCAAGTGTAGCACTCTATGGGTAAGATTTGCCAACCTCTGATTTAAGGTTTCTAATTCACAATGAAAGACTTCATTTATTCATTCAAAATAATATTAAGTGGCAAGTATGACTTAGCAGGTGATTTTCACGACTTTGTTTACCTACCTAGAGTTCTACCTAACAATGTCAAGAGGGAGGAATAGGGATGGTTAACCATATCTGTAACAGAACTGTTTCCCTTTTTTTTCTGTTTGGTGCAAGGACACATTTCATTGTTTTCTCTTTATTTTATTCATATCCACTTTTTGTTGACTAACTCAAGTTTATTTTAAATCAGCAGATAATTCAAAGTCACCTTTCAGATGACTGAGATTTGCTTCCATCCATAATTACAATTTCCATCATAAAAGTATCAACCTCTAGTGGGCAAAACATGTTATTCTACTTTCTGGTAAGGACAAGAGTAACAAACCTGATCTCCATCCCATTTTCTCTGTCAAAAGCTGTAACAAACAGCATTGCAACCAAACGTGGACATGCTCCAATGCCTGCTCTCATTTGTTGTATAGATTAGACTAATGGTTGTTTCATATCTATATTTTTTAAAAGGGTAAAATTTATTTCTGGAGATCAAGGAAAAGTATTCTATGTGTAATAGAAAGTACTGTCTTAAAAGTATTTGTTTGGATATACTTCTTTCTTTTCTTTTCTTTCTTTTTTTTTTTTTTTGAGACAGCGTCTCGCTCTGTCGCCCAGGCTGGAGTACAGTGGTGTGATCATGGCTCACTGCAGCCTCAAACTCCCGGGCTCAAGCTATCCTCCCGAGTTGCTGGGACTACAGGCATGTGCCACCACACCTGGCTGGATATACTAATATCTAATATGCTTAAAGAAGTACACAGTTTAATCAAAAGAAAGGAAGTAAAAAAAACCTGAACAAGTAGTTTAGTGAAGAATCACAAACAAAGATACTAAACGATATAATATTTTATACAAAGTCCAGTGTTCAGTTCTTGGCATCCCATGGGGATCAATAAAAGCTAATTCATCATTAGGAAAATGCTGACAATGACAGACAGGAATGAAACTCCCATTCCCAGGTTTCTATGCTTCTGTGTCATTGGAAAATTGTAGGTAAAATGTCATACAATTAGGCCTCCTTAAAACAAAATTGGGACTGAATACTGGTTATAATAGGGAGAGAAGCATTTGTATCTCAGAGGTACTTAGAAATGGTTTGGTGAATTTTAATAGGAGAGCACAAAATCTGTTCTAGTTCTTTCTAGTAAGGTGGTAAGAAATTTAAAAAAGAAAATTCCTGTTTTTGACTGAAGATATAAGACCTTTATCATAATTCTCTGACCCCATGGACAGGGCCTCAACACAGAACCAACAGGAAAATTGTAAGTGCCAGGCATTTCGTTATTCTGTTTAGGTTCATGTTATTTAAGATCTGGGACCTCTAGCACCAAGGACGTCTCCAAGATGTGTCCCAGAGAAATGGTAAAAGTATTTTAGGAACCTAGCAGTCTCAGGGACAAGTCCTGGTGTAGAGAAAGCAGTACAGGAAGTAGAGTCAGGCAGATTTGGATTGGATCCTAACAGCAAATTACTAGTTGTGTACCACGGAACAAGTCAATTAACCTTTTTAAGGTTTACTTTCGTCATATATAAAATGAGTTTAACACTCTGAGGGAGTAGATTAGGGCATGCACACACACAAGCATGCACACGTACATGCTCCATTTGGTAGAGTATCTAATGGTTAATAAACAGAACGACGTTAGGATAAGCTTTGCTCTAGAACAAAAAAAAGTCTTATACTAAAACAACTCCAGAAACTAACATAAGCGAGGTGCAGCATCCCCCATAGCTTTTCCAGGCTTAGGACTGGATTTGGAATATTACCTGTAGCCAATGAAGAATTATAAAATTACTTTATATATTAGAGAAAAAAAATGTAAAAGGCAGGGCAAAGAAAGGAAGCATGAAGAGACAGAGGCCTGAACTTACGTCGTTCTTCTCTGTGCCTCTCAGTCTCTGCAAAGTATTGGCGGAGCTCTTCGGTGATTTCCATATTGCTCAGGTCACATTCTACCTCTGCATCTGACTCAGTCTCCATCTCTTCTTCTTTGGACAAAGCTTGGTCTTCTCTTGTGGATGCCTGGATCCTACTGCTGCAATGTGGATGCTGCCCAGACCTTCCGAAATGTGAAGAACTGCAGGGGTAGTCCTGCCAGGCCAGATGATGGTCATAGAAGGACTGAGGATACGCAGCCTGGTTATCGTAAGAGCTTTGGGGAAGAAGTGCAGGAGGGAAGTACGATGGAAGACTGAAACAGGATTCCACGGCCTTCCTGTAGGCATTGTGATGGCTTTGCATCCAAGCCATTGCTTGATGATAATGTTGCCAGTATCTTGCATATACCGGATGAGAATACCAAGGCCTGGTAGCTTTCGATGTTGATGCCTACAAAATGAAAGGAGGTGGAGGGTGGACACCAAAGTGTTTATCCTCAAGAGAAATCTTCAAATGTTTAATCTGCTACCCAACAGGTATTTACTTAGTATTTGCTAAATACCTACTCTACATGAGGAAGCTACTGGGCCCAAAATTGTGTGAGACAGGACCTGGGCCACAATGGACACCAAGTGTATGCACACTTGATAAGTCCATGTACATGAGGTACGCACAAGCCAATTAAAGGTATGGAGCATTATAATGTGGGGATGAAGGCTAGTGATCATTTCTAGATGAGATGCAGGGAGAGAGAAGACTGGATGTTAATCATCTTGGCCCTCTCTACCCACTGTAATTAAATGTCTAGTGCCAAGTGAGCAACGGCCTGCTAAGAACCACACCAGACTGACGAGCATGACAGACTTTAGTTTTTCCCTTTCTGCCCCCTAAACTAACTTGCTGGCCTGGGCCACCCCTAAATGCCTGGGGCAAGAGATGTCCAGGAATGCACCCAGTAGTGCTTTTACTTTTTTATTTCTTAGGTCTTCTCCATCGTGGAATGAGAATACCAAACTTTAAAGCTAAAATTTACCTTTTTTACTCACGAGCTCAAAAAAAATTAAAAAATAAAAATCTTACCTTCACCGCTGCCATCTCTGATTGTGAAAGTCCAAATGGGTGCCGAAACTAGGAAAGAAGAATCACAGTGCAAACGTCTGATCAGTATGGCTGTGTGATATTTGTGGCTATTTTGTCATTTGTGACAGGACCATGCCTGATTTCATGCAACCTGTCTACAAGACGTTGGTTCCTGGGCTATGACTTTGTAGTCTGAAAAGGAGGGATCCCCTTAGGTATGATTAAGTGGGTCAAAAGATCCTGCATGGTTCAATTACTTATTTCCCTATAGGAAGTAAAGTCTATGAAAATGACCATATAAATATTTAGTAGTTAGTGTATATGTGTGTATATATATGTATGTGTATATACACATACATATACACACAATATATAAAACATGAACTAAGAATTTACAGTTATTACTTTATTTACTAATCCTTAACTCATGCTAATGCTTACTTAAATTAACCCTGGGTCTTCCTGAGGCTTGAGTGGAACACATCTTTCCAAATGACCAGAAACCTCTGTTGGGTCTTGCCTTAGGTCTGGGACTTGGAGAATAAGACATCTCTCCAGCCTCAGCTGTGCCCTGGGCTTTAAGTTCCCCAAATAGGCTTTGTTTTCATTTTGATTGCAATATGCATTTCTCAGCCAGCATGTGACATCACATTCTCCTTGCCTAACCACCCTGTCTCTTCACAGAAGAAACCACACCATGGAGTCTCTACTGAGGCACCACATAGACTGCCCTGGGCAAATAGCATTGCTCTGCTGAGATTTACTCCTTTTCTCTCTACCCACCTGTTGTGATTTGCCGCATGAAATGCCCAAAAGTAATGGCTAATCTGCAGCTGTACCTTTTTCAATCTATTTAAAATAGACTTTCAATTTTTTTTTTTCTATTCAGAGGTTCAGAGCTATACCAGAATGTACTTTTAAAAAAGTTAAACAAAAATATCCAAAAATGCACGAGAATTTAAGTTTCTGTGAGACAAAACCACTAACACAATGTAATGCTGAGCAAACAACTACTTAGGTTTTGAAACTTTGGAAATCAGATACCAAAGGAGTCTTATTTTTCCTTTTCACTTAACTATAGGGTAGAATTAAAAAATTCCCCAACTCTTAAGAAACAAACTTTACTTGTTTTATAATCTCTATCAGATGTTTTGCTATGGTTATATTAAGAACTGAGATGCTAAATCAACCACTTCTATATTTGAAGATTTAGCTGAAAGAGAATCATTCACATTCTTTTTAAATATAATAAACTTTCAAATAGGGTACTTCTAAGAGGGCTGACATAACTTTCATAAATTTATCTTAAACACAGTCCATAGTTCCTGTTCCTTGTCTTAAATTCAATACTATGTATACATGCAATGAATATAAACTGAAAAAGTTAACAAATGCAGTGTAAATTAAGTTCACATTACTTTTAATCTATAATTTTAATATTTTAAAGGTTTAAAACATGAACAAGTACCTGAAAACCTAGCTAACTGCTATGTGCTTTACAGGCCACTGAAGAAATATGGAAGTTAATACTTAGGTGGCTTACCACTCAGAGAAGTAAAACATAAATGAAATTATGTAGAAATCAGTATGTACTTAAGAGCAAAACTGTAAGGTGCAGCCTTTAGGTGGCTAATTCACTAGAACCAGGTTTTATACTTCCTTTTTTTTGAGCCGAAGTCTCACATTGTCGCCCAGGCTGGTGTGCAGTGGGGTGATCTTGGCTCACTGCAGCCTCCGCCTCCTGGGTTCAATCAATTTTCCTGCCTCAGCCTCCCGAGTAGCTGGGACTACAGGCATGTGGCACCATGCCTGGTTAATTTTTGTATTTTTAGTTGAGACGGGGTTTCACTATGTTGGCCAGGCTGGTCTCAAACTCCTGACCTCGTGATCTGCCCGCCTCGGCCTCTCAAAGTGCTGGGATTACAGGCGTGAGCCACCGTGCCCAGCCTAGGTTTTATATTTCTATCACTAAAATCTGAATAATTTTCTGAGAGCCTGCAGGACATAATGACATTAACGCAAACTGCTGTGTATCTTAATCAAATTTATTTCATAGATTAACAAGCAGCACAGGAATTAAATTAGAAAAGTCTAGGAGACATCTGCATGTGTTCTGGAAATTAAGTGTTTTGAATCTACACTTTTTTCTATGCATCATAAGGCATTTAGAATCAGGTCAACTAAAATATCAATTATTCCAAATTGGGAAGTGTGACAGCCTCAAATATGGAATAAACACCACTGAGATCAAATACTACTGTAGACAAAATCTTGTTTTTAGTTATAATTGGGAAAATCCAGTGTGGCATTAAAGGTTGTAGCACCAATATTCTGAAAATCCACCAGATGGCTAAGAGAGGCTCCATTTTGCAAAGCTGGAAGTTTAGGCATGTGGGATAAAGTAGACTACCATTTAAGGAGTTCAAGGGTAATTGATGATGTTCTCCAGACTGCTCAAATGTCAATGGCTGTGATTTAGAGGGAGGGGCCAGACACTGTGGCTCATGTCTATAATCCCAGCACTTTGGGAGGCTGAGGTGGGTGGATCACCCGAGGTCAGGAGTTCAAGACCAGCCTGGCCAACATGGTGAAATCCCATGTCTACTAAAAATACAAAAATTAGCTGGGTCTGGTGGCACACATCTGTAATCCCAGCTACTTGGGAGGCTGAGGCACAAGAATTGCTTGAATCCGGGAAGTGGAGGTTGCAGTGATCTGAGATCATGCTACTGCACTCCAGCCTGAGTGACAGAGAGAGACTCAGTCTCAAAAAAAAAAAAAAAAAGGAGGGAGGAGCACTAGTTTGAGGAGAGGTAACTCTGATCCAACAAATCATCTGGTAGAAGGGCTGCTATGTTAGAAAGCCTCAGAGATCACCCAGGTACATCCTGAGCACTTATGTAAGAAAGAAGCCAAGAGAATCAGCTGAGATGACTGAAGAAAGCCAGTTCCAGCTTCTGAACTAGAGGCAGTTCAGAATAAGCCCAGAGTGCTCACTATCTACATTAATTAAATATATTAATTCATCAGCTAAGGTGCTAGACTCTTAAGACCCAGGACATTATTAAAGGATGAATTTATGTTAATGATGGAATGCAAGCAACTCTGTAGGCAATTTTGCTTTGCTTTGATTGTGCTTTCCTCACAGTTTTGACCACTGGGATATTTGTAATCAAACTTGCTGCCATCTTCCAGCAAATTTAAAGTCCTGAGGCTGTATGTAGACTGTGCTCATCTCATTCTTGGCTTTATTATTTTCTCTCCCTAAATCCCAAAACCTACTTGTACTTGTAATATCCTTTTACATTTTAAGTCTTTTTAAGATTCCTAAAATCCTGTATTCAAATTAACCAATTTGAATAATTGACTTGAAGAATTACACATTAGTCTCTCAAAAGTCAAATAAAGCATAGAAAAACATGTCTAAAGGAATAGCAACTTGCATAGAGCTTTATAATTATTTTTAGCTAGGTCTTTCCAGTATTATTACTTTATGCTAGCAATTTTTTTCAGTAAAGGGCGAGATAAATATTTTAGGCTTGTGGGCCACATACAGTCTTTGTCACATAGTCTTCATATTCTTTGCCTTTAAAAGAAAAATAAAACACCAAAAAAACACACCAAACAACTCTTCAAAAATGTAAAAGCAATTCTTAGTTTTCTTAAAGTACAAAAAACAGGCTGTGGGCTTTTATTTTGCCCACCCCTGTTTTTTGTTAACACATTTTGAAGTTGTATAGATATTCTCTGAATATACTGAGCATCCTAATTGTTCCTCACTTTCCACTTGGGAACCAGTAGAGGAACTTCATGATTCTCACATGTTTCATAAATGATTAGGTTTGGAGAAAGACTAGTGGAGGCAAGAAAACTGACTATGACCAATAGCAATCATGTTGACCGGTTGCTAATATGTGGGACAAAAAACACTCTCCATGACTAAATAAGGAAATTGGATCTTTTCTTAAATATCCATATAAACATTTAAAGACTTAACTAAAAACAACAATAAAAATTCTGCAAAACCATATCAATTGGCAGGGCTTAGAAAGCAAACAAGACAGAGTTCTGAATCTCTACTCCCTGGAAGGAATATATATTCTTTTCTGCTAAGCAATCAGTTAGTCAGTTAATATCAGTTAGCTCCCAAGGGAAGAAGAGGTCCTCTTCTAAAGATGGGTCCGATTAGCTTTTTTAAGCTGGTTATTTTCTTCACACATGGAGAACTTAAGGAGCTAGAAGAATGCCTGAGTTTCTGAAAAGCCAACATTTAAATAATTATAGACATTATAGCAACATCTTCAGAGACTACTACCTCTCAAAGAAAAGAGAGTTGATGGTTGCTGCAGATTTAGATGCCCTTCGGTCTTTAATGGTCTTTAATTCGATCTTTCATTCCTCACCTCCCTGGGAATGTCTCCCACTCTTTTATGGCACAAGCCTTCAGGGACTGAACAGTAACTTTTCTCCGAATGGGCTGGTGGAGCTGAAAGAAAAGAGATTGGCAATGTCAGGGAAGGCCGGGATCTGCAGCTCTACAAACCCGGCAGTCCTCTCCAGTGAGCACAATGGCATAATGGCCACCACCCAGCTGAGCCCAGGCAAGTACAGAGACCATTCATTGTCTGTCCTCAATCACCAAAGAAGGAAGGAAAAAAACAGGGTTGAGGTCATTCACCAAACATTGACGAGGCCTACAGGCAAGGCAGAGACTGAGTCTTGAATGATATATTTTTCCATATAACCTCTCATAAAAAATGGATTTACACTTCAGTACATCTGCTTACCCTGAAAGATGTATTTTTAATGCATAAATATACATAAAGAACAATAGATAAGAACTTTGTAGTTTTCAATGGATAAAACGTGACTATTTCCATCAAGTTACCAAAAAATTTCACAAATAAGTGGCTTTGTTGACCAGTAGTGCCATCAAATATATTCTTTTAATTACATATTTATGTTCTTATAAATATAGAATATAGGACACATCGTAGCAACCAAAAAAGTAAAATAAAAACACAAATTCCCCTAAAAACTAGAGTGTATACTTGAATTAGATATTCCTATCTTCCTTTTCTACTAGAATTCTAAAAATACATGAAAATTCACCTGCTTTGATCTTTGCACAGAAACGCATTAAAAGTCAATCATTAAATAAGTTACTCTGGCTAAAGCCCTGAAAGTCAAACCTTTCCTACAAAGCTCCAGTAATTTGGTTCTCTGAGTCAACCAGGTAATTTGGAGGATTTAGTCAGATCTTCCGTACACACTGTTTCAAGGAGATCTGCTGGACACTGCAGCAAAATAAATGAAGGTATGGTGAGAAATCTGAGTGAGATACATTGAGTCATATGCGGTTCTAAGAATCTCTCTGTACATGCAACAATAACCCTATCACAGAAGATGTCTTCCACTAATACAACAGTAAGAACTTCCTCACTAAGACAAAGAATATAATAGGGTTTTGTTGAGGGCCGGGCTTCCTGCCCCACCTACTTGGGCAGCCCTGCCCCCATCCCTGGCTGGTTGCTGAGGCTGGCAAGCTCATCAGGCTTGATGCCCTCATGGGCTCCCTCCTGTGTCTTTGCATGGTCCCTGCTTAGTGATTTGGACATCAAAGATGGCTCAAGTCCAAATGGACTTCTTTCACCTGCAGGCATCCAAGCACCATCTCGGGCAGGACACAGGCCTATTCAAGTGCACATGCCACTGTGTTCAGAAAGCCTGCACCTCCCCGTCTATAATAGCTACAGTTAAAACTGATGGGCAAGGCAGTAAAAAAACTGAGTTTTATTTTACTTTCATTCCCTGAATCCCCAACCCCAATTTACCCTCTTCTGGATGTTGTAATAAGTACTGTCACAAAGAAGGCATAGCAAGGGGAAGGAGTAAGACTGAAAGGACGTAGTTAACAATTCTTTTTTTCATACAAATGACATTCCACCCACAGAAGGGCATTGTTTAATTTGTCAGCAAGTGTGATGAATTTGTGAATGGATTTATTTGCAAGTTCTCTGAATCTCCATGTGACTAATATCAGAATCAAAAGTGAAATATGAGGCCAGGAACAAAGTTACCCTCTGACTCAGGAACACAACAAGCAATGGGGTGACTGAGAATGACATAATGATAACACAGTTCAAAAGAAGAAACAGATAAGTTTGTTTCACAGCAAGCATGTCCTTCATAAGCAAAACCTAATGTGACCATAAGGGAATAGGGTTAAATAGGCAGTTACTACATTAAGAGCATAACAGCAAAAACCATGGGTAGTTTAAAGCAGTTAAGATCGCTAGTACATTTCAGGAGTCTTATTTCAAATTTACTTTTTTCTATAAACATATTCATGGTAATTCCATGTTAATCTCTCTTTTCTGAATTTACAGGCATTTACTATGCCTCATTCACTTGGGCACTTACTCAATTACCTGTAGGCATGGATTCTACAATCTACTCCTTTTAAGTTTCCTATTTTCCTTCGAGCATAAAAATAAGAGCTAATATTTCATGCTCTTAGATGCTGTTGAAATTGTTGTTGAGCTTGTCTGTTGTTTCCTGATAATGTTCTCTCCTGCTACATCTATTCCCCAAAATCACTGAGGACCTAGTAACTCAAAAACTGACTATAAAGCACCAAATCTTTTCAGGAAGCAAATATTTAAGTACATTATGTTTTCAAGGATCTTTTCAATTCATCTGATATTTGATCAGCTACATTCTTTTTTCACTTGTCCAGCTGTTCCGTGGCTGAATTTCCTCTTGTAGAGAAGTTGTTCAAAAAAAGTTCTGTACCTACTTTGCAAACTCTTCCAATTTACACTCTAGCCTTAATTGTTCAAAACTTTCCCCCATCATTCTCATCTCATCCTATCCTTTAAAAAAAACCCCAAAATGATTAATCACCATCTATAGAACAGTTTCAGAATGAACATTTCTCTCTGGAACTTAAGTTTGTATACTTCCCCAGCACAGCAATGAACACAGAGGGGATTTATACACCTGTGAACTTGATTTCAGTTATGCTTATTCAAAGTTACTAACCAGCAGTCTTTAAAAATATATGGTTTCTGTTCACACTGAAATTCCAGAGACTGTTATTCTGATAAATTATGCTAGCAAAAATAGTATTTTTAAAAGGTAGCTTTCATCCTATAATTCATGGGAGCTGTGAGCATACATAATCCCAGAAGTGTTGCATTACTAATCTTTAGTCTAGATTTTTCAAGTAATGTTGTTCTGATTTGAGATGAAAAACAGCTGAATACACAGCCTAGACTGTCAAACGAGTTTAAAAACATCATTCCTGAAAAAACAAAATTGTTCAGAACCATCTAATCTGTACTAAGGGAACATCAAGATTTCAGAGATAAAATGCACTTCATTGGCCACTGGTTCAACTACAGCTCATTACTGATAAGTGGGCACAGACACAAAGCCCATAAACTGTGGGCGCCAGATGTCTCAAGATAACTCCCACCAAAAGCTCTGACCTCCTGCAGAGGTTAAAGTGCAACAGAAAAGAAAGAAATCTCGAATTTTTGAGCAGACAGGCCAATATCCTAGACATACTCCATGTATGTGGCTGTCCAGGGCAATTAGATTCAGATACTGGGCTGGATGGGCAAAATCCAAATTCACCTACAGACCTTAACACGGTGGTTCTCGGCACGCCAGAATCACCTGGGCAGCTTTAAAAACCACCGAGGCCAGGGCCCCACTATTAGAGACTCGGATTTAATTGGTCCGGGATGGGGGCCCGGGGATCAGAATTGTTAAAGAGTCGTCCAGTGATTCGGAAGCACTGTAGAGCTGAGAGCCTCTGGGACTGGTCCCCTCTCACAATTAACCTGCAATGATTTAGGAATCTCATGGGCCTCTGGCCCCACCTTTTGTCGCGGGGTTAACATAATTATGACAGCAATGTGACGTCCAAGACCTCGGCTCTCCGCGCATCAGAAGAAGCCAGGGCCCGGGGCCTCTAAGCTCCTCCCTCACTCCCCAAAGGAAACCCAGCCGTCCCCGAAGTCACCTCGTGGGCGCGCAGCTTGCGGATCCTGGGCGTTGGCCGAGCAGGGGCCTAGTTTTCCTTGGAGACACAGAGGGGAAATGGGGACACGAAGGGGGCGGCTGTTGCCGGGGCGACTGGAAGCGCGCTTCCGGTGCGGAACACGTGGCGCGGCGCGCCGGAAGTCCTCCCTGCGTCGCGGACGCCACGTTCGCACCGCAGGTGGTGCTGTGCTGGAGGCCGGAAGCTGCCTGCTGATCGGCTACTGCGAGTGGATCGCCTGGGCGGCAGGCGTGGGATGGCGGCGGGTGGCGGGGCTGGAGGGGAAGGTGCTGCACCCGGCAGGGCACTGGGACCGCGGCGGGCACCCGCGCCGGGGGTCGGACGGTGCTGTCTCCACCGGCGGGTGTGTTGCTTCTGCATGGCCTGGTTCTCAAGAGCCTTTAACTTTTTGTCCTTTCCTCAGCTTTCTTCGTTTTCCTTCCCTTGTCTTTACTTAGCCTTCTCTTTCTTCCATTCTGTTTTCTTTCTTAACTAAAACAGAGTTTTAGTTTCTTTCTTTAATTTGTCCCAGGGGAAAACGCCCAGGCTTTGAAAATAGATTAACCCAGATCTCAGTTTGAGTGCGATTCCAGTGCTAGGTAAAACCTCCCCAAGCCTCGTGTTTCTCATCAATAAGATATGCATAACCTAATGCGCAGTGCCTGATGCATTGCAGCAGACAAAACATTAGTACTTACTAATATGTTTGTAATTATAACCACAGCAATACCTGCCCTGTTAACAACACAAGAGTCATTAATAAGAACCAAGCATAAACAATTAGAAGTCTTATGTGACATATCATTTCTGGGGCAATTAATCATATTTAATAGTTTCTGGGAATTTATTCCAAGGAAAAACAGGTACGAGCCAGGTGTTTATTACAGAATTATTTTAAAAAGTGAAAATTGGAAATGACCTAAATGCCCAACAAGAAAATGGCTAAGTCAATTGGGTGATATTAATGACGTGACATTACTATGTTATTCCTATAGTACAAAATAATTAAATGGTATAGAAGAATATTAACTTGAACAAATATTTACTGGATGCCTATTATGTGCCAAGTATTCTGTGTTAGCACTGTCCGTTGTAACCCTTACATGTGGCCGTGAGAACCTGAATTGTAGTAGTCTGAACTGAGATAAATTACACTACAGATTTTGAAGAAGAATGAGAAAAAGAATGTAAAATATCTCAATTTCTTTGTAGTGATAACATCTTAGAGAAGGACTATTGAGGTTAAATACTAAAATTTCATCTTTATATTTTTACTTTATTAGTGTGGCTACTAGAACATTTAAAATTATATGTGTGGCATACTTTGTATTTCTATTGTACCGTGGTATTCTATTTACCGGATACACAGTAGTAAACAATACAGTTTTGGGGCTCATAAAATTAAATCTTTTGTGTAGAACATAGACAATAAGCAGATAAATAGAATTGTATGTTGTGGTGAGTTATATGAAGACAGTATAGCAGGGTAAGGACCAGAAAGTATATGTATATAGAGGGGGATTATTTTAGAAAAGATGATTCCTTCTCCTCAGAAAATGGATGTGGGAGGAAATGAGATACCTATGGATAGAAGCAGGAGATGGTAGGAGGGTGATGTCTTGTGGGAAAAGTCAGGTTTGGATTGAGAGAGATAAGTCAGTTGGGGCCTGGTGGAATCTCTACCTGAAGGAAGAAGCCAGCATCTAGAGAGGAAGGAAAGAAAGATGGAGAGGGGTAAGATAGGGAGAAAGAGCTCAGGGGGTTCCTGGGAAAGGCAGAAGGATGCAGGCCTAGAGTGGATATAGTTCAGGTAGAGCAATTCCTGGTTCTATGAATGAAAAAATACAATATATGTGGTATACTATGGCATTAGATAGAGTATTAGTTGGCTGCTGTCACAGAGACCCAGAAGAGGAGTGGCTCAAACTGTTGAGAAGTGTATTTCTATCTAATGGCAGTCTGGGTGTAAGGAGTCCAGAGTATGGCAGCTCTACCTGTCTCATAGCTCCACCCTCCCTGGTTTCTTGCCTTGGCCCACATGGTCCAAGATGGTGCACCACTGTACCTTTCAGCCAGTGGGAAAGGGAAAGCCAGAGGCATGCCCTTTACCTCTAAGGGTTTCTCCACCTTGGCACTATTCACGTTTGGGGTTGGATAATTCTGTGTTTTGGGGGTTGTCCTGTGCATTGTGGGAGTTTTAGTAGCATTTCTGGTCTCTACTCACAAGATGCCAGTAATGTCTCCCAGTTGTGACAGGCAAAAATGTTCTCAGACATTGCCAGATGTCTCCTGGGCTGGCGTGGGGGGGCAAAGTCACCCCCAGTTGAGAACCACTGCTTTAAGAGTACTACCCAGAGGTGGCCCACAGCACTTCTGATCACTTCTTACTAATGGCCTGAACTTCATTACTTAGCCCTCCTAAGGGTAAAGGAGCTTGGAATTGTCTTTTTCAGATGGCCAAGTGCCCAGCTAAAAGTTGACTAAAAAAGAAAAGAAACTAGCTGATTCTCCCATACCCTTGTTGCTACAGGGAATGGAAATTTTGTAGCTGATTGAGGAGGTAGTCCTGTTCTTTTCATCTTTAAGTCTAAGTTTTAGTCATTACTCACTTTAACTCACTTGCATAAAAATACTGGTGGTGGGGAACACTAAGCACCTAAGGAACAATCCTATTTGAAAAGAATGGGGATTGTTACTCCAGGGGGTTGACCAGGGAGAGAAAGCGAATTTTGAAATGGAGGCTAGAGGAGGTTCAATTTTCACTTGTCGTTTAGCGCCATCTGGTGGAAATTTACAAATGGCAAGTCCTCGGTATTTTCTTTAATTTTTCTCAGGCATATGCTTCAAAATTTAAATGGATTATAGCAAAACTTTAAAGAATCCTGTCAGATGAGGAGCTCTAAACATGATCTCTCACTTTCGGCACTATTGGCATTTCGGGCTGCATAATTCATTGTGGGGGCTATTCTGTGCATTGTAGGAAATTTAGAAGCATTCTTGGCCTCTGCCCACTGGATGTCTCTCCCTGCCCCCATTTATGACAACCAAAAATGTTTCCAGCCATTGACAAATGTCCCTAGGGTGAGGGTGTGGGGAATGGCTTCTGGTTGAGAACCACTCCTTCAAACAAGGCATCTAAAATCCTAGTGCCTGTTAAGGCATAGTAGTCCCCTATCAGTGTATCCTGGTGTGTCTGGAAAGGATGGGGAGGCAGTGCTGGGAGAAAACGGCACCAGATGCAGCACGACATGTCCTCTCGTTTACACTTTGGAGATTTTCGCTCCTGTTTATCTCAACCAAGTAGAGATTGAGGGAGAGAAGCCAAAAGGCATGGCTAGAGGATGTAGTTTCTTTAAAGGACCTATGGTAAGGAAATATATAGAGGTTATTACCTAACACAGGAAGTAGCACAGACGAATCTCAAACTGGTACTAGGGCCCCAAAGTTCAGGTGTCAGGTGTGAAAATCCTGCCAGCCGTGGGAAGCCATAGCTAATCTCATGGGGCTTTTTGGATCCTCCCCTGTCCCCCAGCTGGGACCCATCTGCCACCTAAGTGTTGTGAAGAAACAGCTTGGGAACCAGTCCCCTTACCTGGATCAAGTAAGTGGTGCTAAACCACCTGCAAACAGTAGTCCTGAATTCTTACTTTGAAGTTGGGTAAAGGAAAGAACAGTTTCCCAGGAGCACTCGCTAGCAGGTCCTCGCTTCAGGTCCGGCTCAGGTCCTCTGCCATAGTTTCTCTTTGATTTCACGTTCTCAAGCCCCTTCTTCACCAGCCCCAGACCCTTCCTTTCAGCAGATGACCACTTCCTATTGACACAATTGAGATGACCAGGCACAGATTTCATCACCTTGAAATGTATTGCCATCTGCACTCACCGTGCCTCTTGGTTTAAAGAGACACAATGAGTGCCTTTGCTTCTGCTTAGGCCAACCCAGTCACGTTGTTATCTGGATCCAATTCCATGTCCTCACAGGCACCTCATGCCCTCAATTGTACACCTCTCATATCATTGCCTTTCTCTTTCCTGGCTTCTTCCCCATCAGCATCAAACTGGCTCAGGTTCTCTGATCTTTAAAATCATTTGGGCTGATTTTTCACTCCCCTCTCCTCAGCTTTCTATTTTTCCACCTCTCTTTTTGGTTATACTTCTGTAAAAAGTGAGATACCTTTATTTCCTCACCTACTTTCCACTCACCCCACAGCTGGTTCTCTTCGAGCATGTCCATTCCGGTACAACTGTCTCACTGGCATCACTGCTGACTTTTTCCATCTACTATACTTGGGCCTCTCTGCAGTATTTAATACTATAGTCCATGCCCTTTTTCTTTAAAATTATAAGATTTTCTCTCCCCAGACTGCAAAGGTAACATGTGCTTAATGCAAAAAAGAAAAATACAATAATAAAAACGCAAATCTTGGACAACTGAGGCACTTAAGTTCAAAGGAAAACAACAAGAATGACTTGCAATGCCATTACTTTAAAATAACCATTCTTTAGGATATAACATATATATATATATATATATATATATATATGCATTCAATACTGGAGCACTCAGATATATAAAGCAAATATTATAGGAGCTAAAGAAAGAGATAGGCTCCATTACAATAATAGCAGAAGATTTCAACACCCCACTTTTCAGCATTTGACAGATCTTCCAGGTAGAAAATCAACAAGGAAATATCAAACTTAATATGCACTATAGACCAAATATCTAATAGCTATTTAGAGAATATTTTATCTGATAGCTGCAGAAGACACATTTTTTTTTCTTTAACATATGGATTATTCTCAAGGAGAGACCATATGGGGGGGGGTCAT